GATTTTATTTTTAGCAGGGAGAAATAGAACCCTTCAAAATACTGCCAAGAATCATGAAAACTTTTATGACTGCCACCGAATTTTTTTATAGCATAGCAAAAAATCTTTTTTGGGAATGTATTCTTGTTCCTTTATGTAAAAAGGTCGTCACGTCTTTTATAACTTAGGTATAAAATCGAAAAACCATTATGCCTTTTTTAATGTTTAAAATCATTTTTGTTTATTTCAACATCATATATAATGTTTATAAAAAGTATATGGAGTGTATAACTCCTTTTTCATTTTAAGCCAAGTATAATAAAGTAAAGATTTCCTTCTTTCTTGTGGCCTAATAGCTTTAAACTAATAATGTTTATAAACTCAGATTATTTTGAAAACTGTTTTACGTATACCTTATACTCTCTTGGCTTAAAATTCAAATATGATATCATAGTTTTTACATATCAGTTATAGTTCACGAGATAGCTTATAATTTCTTCAAAATGAAGGTTTTGAGAATAAATTTTAGATATTTGGAAACATGAAATACCAGATTCTAAATTTTTAAATTATAAACTTCCATTAGTTAAATTGATCAAGTTTCAAGTAATAAAATTTTTGTTTAAACAATCATAAACCTTCAGAACAATGCCTTTTTGGTCGCTCGACTCAACTCAGTCACAATGACCAATTCGCTACGCGCCTTTCTTTAACAACCCAGTGAGCACAAAGACGAAAAACGTTCTTTAAACGTCTGTAGAACGTTTAATGTCTGCCAATTTATGTTTTAAGAACGTCCGACTGTTCCAAAAATGTTTCGGAACATTCGGATGTTCTTTGAACGTAAATTGTCAGACATTAAACGTTCTACAGACGTTTAAAGAACGTTTTTTGTCTTTGTGCCCACTGGGAATAGATTTTCCGAATCTATTCCCAGTGGGCACAGGGACGTCTAAAAGACGTCCCTTTTTGTCCGCGGACGATTCGGGGACAATGATGGCAATGTCTCTGAGTCATCAAAAAGACAACTAAAAGACGTTCTATGTCTGGTCCAAAAGACGTCTAAAAGACATAAGAAAGGACGTCTAAAGTACGTCTAAAAGACGTCTTTTGGACGTCTAAAAGACATAACGTCTTTAAGAAAGACATCTTTAAGACGTCTTTTGGACGTCCTTTTTACATTCCTTCAGATCTTAAATAAACATTTCTTTTATAACATTTTCTAAGTTGAAATTCAGTAACATTGTATTAAATTTATTTTAAGTATAATTTTATTTTTTCTAAAATGTGGAGAAATAATGAAAAAATTCCTACGAAGCTGGGATAGAACTCGGATACCTTGGGCTTGAAGCACTGCGCCTTAAGCACCTCAGCCGTTCAAGACAGATATGAACCTCTACAAAGTTAACGATCTCACTTGTCAATGAAATGAATTTAACTTAGAAAAATTCCAATGAATTTCACATTCATAAATTTCTAAGTCCAAGTTGAACTTAGAAAAAAAAAATTTTCTATTTATGAAAATTTTTCTATTTTCAAATGTTGAATGAAAAAGACGTCTTTTAGAGACGCATGCAAATCCCCTAATCGCCAAGTCGTCGAATGATCAAATAGTCGAATGCCAAGTAATCGTCTGAAGAAAACGTCGAATGCTAAAAACATCGAATCGGCATTTAGTCGAATGCTAAAAGCATCGAATTGTCAATACGTCGAATGTTCAAAACGTCGAATTATCAATTCGTCGAATGTTAAAAACATCGAATCGTCAATACGACGAATGTTCAAAACGTCGAATTATCAATTCGTCGAATGTTAAAAACATCGAATTGTCAATACGTCGACTGCTAAAAACATCGAATAGACAAAACATCGAATGCTAAAAACATCGAATCCTTATTTAATCGAATGCTAAAAACATCGAATTCTCAATTCGTCGAATGTTCAAAACGTCGAATGTTCAGAACGTCGAATGCTAAAAACGTCGAATGTTCAAAACGTCGAATCGTCATTTAGTCGAATGGTAAAACCATCGAATAGTCCATTCGTCGAATGCTCAAAAAGTCGAAACGCCATCTGTTCGAATTATCAAGTAGTAGAATAGTAAAGTTGTCGAATGTTCAAAACATCGAATCGTCATTTAGTCGAATGCTAAAAACATCGAATCTTCATTTAATCGAATGCTAAAAACATCGAATTCTAAATTCGTCGAATGTTCAAAACGTCGAATTATCAATTCATCGAATGTTAAAAACATCGAATCGTCAACATGTCGAATGTTCAAAACGTCCAATTATCAATTTGTCGAATGCTCAAAAAATCGATTGTCAATACGTCGAATGTTCAAAACGTCGAATGATAAAAACGTCGAATGCTAAAAACATCGAATCGTCAATTCTTCGAATGCTTAAAACATCGGATTGTTAATTCATCGAATGCTTAAATCATCGAATTTTTCATTCGTCGAATGTTCAAAACGTCGAATGATAAATACGTCGAATGCTCAGAACATCGAACTGTCAATTCGTCGAAAGCTCAAAACGTCGAATGATAAAAACGTCGAATGCTAAAAACATCGAATCGTCAAAAGTTCGAAAAAGTTCTTTGTTTTCAGTAGATATTAACTTAAAACAAAGAACTTTTTCGAACTTTTGACGATTCGATGTTTTTAGCATTCGACTACTTTACCATTCTACTACTTGGCAATTCGAACAGATGGCGTTTCGACTACTTTACCATTATACTACTTGACATTTCGAACAGATAGCGTTTCGACTATTTGAGCATTCGACGAATTGACTATTCTATGTTCTGAGCATTCGACGATTTGAGAATTCGACGTTTTGAACATTCGACGAATGGAAAAATCGATGATTTAAGCATTCGATGAATTAACAATTCGATGTTTTTAGCATTCAAAGAATTGACGATTCGATGTTTTTATCATTCGACTAAATGACGATTCGATGTTTTTAGCATTCGACGTTTTGAACATTCGACAACTTTACCATTCTACTACTTGATAATTCGAACAGATAGCGTTTCGACTTTTTGTCTGTGGGAAATATTAATTTAAATTAATTATATAAAAATATCAGAAGGTATTCCCACTAATAAATAACAAGACTCCATTAAATTAACTAATAAATTTATTTATAATAAATTGTATGACTCTTTAATTAAGGAAAAGCAATGCTTGCCTTGTGACTACCGGAATAAGAATAATCAAATCACCACACTCATACATGCATTACATAATACGCACACATACGTACATTCAAGTCGTACCGCGTAAACCATGTCATGGCTTATAATTCTTTTTATAGAGAGGAAACTTCGTGTTCCTTATTGCTGTCGTTCGGTCATGAGCTAGGAGAGCAAGAAGGGAGATGTCGAGCCAACAACTCCCCACATACTCCCCCCCGAGTTAAATTCTGTTTCCTAAAACAGATTATGCTAATTAATACTTAACGTAATTTAAACGTTATATTCCTAAGGTAAGTTAAACATAACTTTTTTCTTTTTATTTACATAGGTTTTTAATACTGGTTTAACTTTTAATACTGTTTCGGGGTTCGCAATGACAAGAGTCGGTGACGTAGATTCTGGATATACATTGGACACAGGTTTTATCACATTATCGTTCGCTACATCTGGTACATCGTTTGCAAAAAAGGCAGGCTTCAAATTCTCTACTGATACCTGCTTCTTTATGCCATTTATTTCGATTTCGAAAACCTTCTCAGTTGTGCGATTTACGACCTTATGGGGACCGGAATACGGGCACTCAAGTGACTTTTTGATAAAAGGAGCTTTCAGGAAAACATGCGAACATGATTCCAAACTTTTATGAACGAAGATTTTTCTCTTATCATGATGTTCAACAGGTACCAGTCTAATAAGTCGCATAGCTTCTCTAAATTCCTCCAAAAAAATTTGAGGATCCGGTGCAAAGTCTTACGGTAAAACAAATTGACCAGGTATTCTTAACGTAGTCCCGTATAAATATTCAGCCGGTGATGCTTCTGACTGTAAGACATTATTACGCAACCCCATGAGGACCACAGGCAAAGACTGAGTCCATTGTTGATCCGAGTGACACATTATTGAGGTTTTCAGGACACGATGCCAGCGTTCCACCATGCCATTAGAGGCAGGATGGTACGCTGCGGTTCGGATTCTTTGACATCCAGTCAATTTAAGAAGAGCGGAAAAAAGTTGGGACTCAAATTGACTACCTCTATCAGTTGTTAAGGTTTCGGGTGAACCGAAGCGAGAAATCCAACCACTAAAGAATGCTCGACAGACAGAATTCGCATCTATATTCCTCAAGGGAATGGCCTCCGGCCAACGAGAGAACCTGTCAATAAGGGTAAGGCAATAACGAAAACCATCGCAAACCGGAAGAGGACCGATTAAATCCATATGTACATGACGAAATCTAACTTCCGGCGCTACGAAATGGGATGGTTGCAGCACGGTATGTCGCGTGACTTTAGCTCTTTGACATGATAGACAATCTTTACACCACTCCTTGATATCTTTATTAATCCCCGGCCATACGTATGATTTAGCAATGAACCTACACGAAACCTTGGCGCCAGGATGTGCAGGATCATGAAGAAGATGGAAAATGCGTTTACGTAACGAAATAGGGATAAATGGACGCAGAACCTCCCCCGAAAGGTCGCAAAAAATGGCGGTGTGATCAGGACCCCATCTTATAGACTTCAGATTGAGAGAACTACTTCCACTTTCAAGCAAGGACTTCAACTCCGCATCATCTTTCTGTGCCGCAGTCATTTCCGCCAAACCAATTTCCGACGCAAAAATTACGAATCTAATTTCTTTTTATACGAGCAAGGTGGTTTACAAAAATCGGCATTTTCCCTAAATTTGAAATGATAATAGCATTGATCATTGTTACGTTTATTATCCATTGATTTTTCGCGCGAATGATCAGAACGATCCTTTGATTTAAAACGATTCTTCGATCTCGAACGCGAGTGATTCTGAGGACGAGATTAAGTTGACAATTCATCAAGTCTTTTAGTAAGAACTTCGATTTTATTTAAAATTTCGTTATCCATCGAAACAGCATTAACCGAATTATCAATTGGCGAAATATTCGCCATTATTTTATCAGCAATAGTTGCCAAACGCGTAACATTTTCAATTTCCGATAATGACAAAACCGCTCGACAGTTTTCCGGAAGTTGATCCAAAAAGACGGATTTAATAATTTTCTCTGAACACCGACCGCGACTCAAATGCCGAATTTTACTAAGGATCAAAGATGGCTTTCCATCTGCAAAAATCTCTCCGCGAAGAATGGTACGAAGTTCCTTCTCGGGTGAAACTGAAAAATTTGCTATTATTCTATCTTTAATGGCGGTATAAAGTGCAGGTGCTGGAGGGTCCGCAGTTAGCAAATCGCTAATAGTTTGAATAATCTCGTAGTCCAAAATCGAAACCACAGCGCCAGCCCTCTGGCCTTGACCTCTAACGCGGTTACAATAAAAAATTAACTCGGCCTGAACAAACCAAAGCCTCGGGTCAGATCGAAAAAAATTTGGAAGTCTAACATTTCGCACATCATCAACATGTTCTCCACCCCCAGGAGCACCACCAGCAAAAGGTAAACCCCCAAATTGAAAAACATTATTATTTTCTCCAAGATTACTCGTTGCCGAAGAAGTAGACGACTTATTTTCCTGTTGGTCTGTCATTGTAAGTTTTTCAAAAAAAATTATTTATTAAATACTCCGAGAAAACTAATATATCAATGTAAAAATTTTGAAAAATAATTTAAACTTCATAATAGTCACTTGAATGTCCGCAATCGTTGTTAAAAAATTTTCAATCAAAAAATCAATCCCATAATTCGAGAATTAATTTCGTAAAAAAATTCAAAAATTCGCATATAAAATAAAAAAAGTTTTCTAAATTATACAAATAAATTACGAATCGCGCTGTATAAACAAGATAACGCTACAAACAGACATATGCAAAAATAAAATGCACAACACCATATTATATTGTCGACGAAATCAGGAATTGATAAAACAATCCTCATTTTAAAAAATGTAAAATTTAAATCAATTTTTAAAATAAATTATAAAATGTTTTTAAAATCTTAATAAGATCCTTTAGAAATAAATAATCCAATAAATTTGAAAGTTTAAATGATAATCAATCCTTCTAAAATTGACTGATAATTATACTCTCGCGTAAATGCAAGAAAATGTAAATAATCGAAATATAATTTTTAATTTTTCAAAATTTAGAAATTTAACGTTAATAAACGCGAATTTAATTATTAATATTATTGTTTCGTCGATGTGTGATAAAAAAGGAACACAAAAAAAAATTTATTTAAACAGATAACAAAAAGAAAATTTTTGTCATCTCGAACTATAAAAAAAATTTTCTAAAAAAAAAATAAATTAAAAAAAAAATAAGGTTGAGAATTAAAAAAAAATCTTTTATAAAAAAATTGTTTTCGAAAAAAAAATTAAAAAAAAAATCTTTCGTTAAAAAAAAATTTTCGTTCGGAGATTCACAACAACAAATAAGCAATGAAGCTGATGTAAATCAGGAAGATCCCATAGGCAGCAAATCGGTCGCCAGAAAAAATTCGGCAAGTGAACTGCAAGTTCAACTCCATTCTCGGCAAAATCTCTCTCTCAGCAATTTCTCTGCATTGGCAGGTCTATGAATGTCATGTTGATAAAGAATTCTCACAGGAACGATCCAAATACAGCATAAAAAAAGATTCTCATAAGAGACAGCAGACAGTTCAAAGAACTATTATTCTGCAAAGGTAGGACAAAAAGCAAAAACGTACCTTGTACATGCGCAAGAATGTTATGCCCATGTGCCGTCCTTTGAAAGCGTTTTTTTTAGATAAGTCTGGAACTCTCGAGGATGGTACACCAGGTTCTGGCCAGATTAGTCATCAGATATAATCTCCAAATTCACATCCATCAGCAGTCAAAAAAGATGTAAAATGCATCCAGAAAATCCACAGTAGCAAGAGTCAATAAATAAAAAATATATTCCATAAAGATCAAAACGAATGAGACTCATCGTTGGAATTTGATCAGTTTTTAAAATAATTTCGGAGCAAAAGAAAAATGGCGGCAGCCACTATGACCTCATGGCATGAGAGTCATTATATTTTTGGTGATTTAAAAATTTCCAATAATTAAAAAATATTGGTGTTGAAATGCGAAGAAAATTCCTCCGAACATAACTCTCATTGAGAAGTTAAAAGATGGTAAAAATAATCACGGATAAAACTCGCTCCGAAATTTCACACCTGACATGTGATCGATGGCGTTATTTTAAAATACACCCAAGTCGGGGTCACCAATGTGGGAAATATTAATTTAAATTAATTATATAAAAATATCAGAAGGTATTCCCACTAATAAATAACAAGACTACATTAAATTAACTAATAAATTTATTTATAACAAATTGTATGACTCTTTAATTAAGGACAAGCAATGCTTGCCTTGTGACTACCGGAATAAGAGTAATCAAATCACCACACTCATACATGCATTACATAATACGCGCACATACGTACATTCAGTTCGTACCGCGTAAACCATGTCATGGCTTATAATTCTTTTTATAGAGAGGAAACTTCGTGTTCCTTATTGCTGTCGTTCGGTCATGAACTAGGAGAGCAAGAAGGGAGATGTCGAGCCAACAACTCCCCACATGTCCATTCGACTACTTTACCATTCTACTACTTGATAATTCGAACAGATGGCGTTTTGACTATTTGAGCATTCGACGAATGGACTATTCGATGGTTTTACCATTCGACTAAATGACGATTCGACGTATTGAGCATTCGACGTTTTGAACATTCGACGAATTGAGAATTCGATGTTTTTGGCATTCGATTAAATGAGGATTCGATGTTTTGTCCATTCGATGTTTTTAGCAGTCGACGTTTTTATCATTCGACGTTTTGAACATTCGATGTATTGACAATTCGATGTTTTTAACATTCGACGAATTGATAATTCGACGTTTTGAACATTTGTCGTATTGACGATTCGATGTTTTTAACATTCGACGAATTGATAAATTCGACGTTTTGAACATTTGACGTATTGACAATTCGATGTTTTTAGCATTCGACTAAATGCCGATTCGATGTTTTTAGCATTCAACGTTTTGTCCATTCGATTACTTGGCATTCGACTATTTGATCATTCGACGACTTGGCGATTAGGGGATATGCATGCGTCTCGTCTTTTAGACACTTTAAAGACATCTAATGGCCAAGACATAGAACATGAATAGGACGTCTTTAAGACGTCTTAAAGACGTCTTTTTGTACAAGTCCAAAAGACGTCCGCAAAAAGACATCCTTAGGACGTCTTTGGAACAAGTGTGCCCACTGGGTTGTGATGATTTTAAAACAAGAATTTTATAACTTTAAAATTCTGCATTTTAACTAATTCAACTTTGTAACATAAAAATTTAGAATCTATGGTATTTTACGATTCCAAATATCTAAAATTCATTTCAAAAAATATTTGTTAAAATAAATTATAAGGTTTGGGTGATAATTAAAAAAAAGATTTTTAAAATAAATGTTAGATATTTGGAATCGTAATATACCATAGATTCTAAATTTTTATGTTACAAAGTTGCATTAGTTAAAATGCAGAAGTTTTAAGTTATAAAACTTTAAGTAGTAAACTATTCTAAGTGTCTCAGGCGTTTATCAAGGCGATTGCTGATCTCATCGTGTTTAGTGTTCCAAAAGAGGCTCCATCCTTGAACTTTTTCGTTAGTCCTGAAAGAATCTGTTTCTCGTCCGCTTCTAAGGGATCCCATGACCTTTCTATGCAGAAGGACCACTAATACTTTAAAACAGTATTGTATTGTTTAGCCGAATTTGCGGTAATTGACGCCATTATTATTTTTGTTGTTCCTTCCTCCAGGTTCTTTTTTGCGCACGCCTCCCTGATACAACCCTACACACCAGGGTAAGTCTCCTTGATAGCGCATGAGAGATTTCTCTACAAGGTGAAAGTAGAAAATTAGAATCTGGTTCAAAAATATTAAGTCGGATATAATAAGTCTGCTGAATTCAGGGTACCATGGTTGTACGGTCCAGAAGGGAACTACTAAAATTCCCTTTGACTCTTTGTCTCTTATTTTTTTTAATATTCTAGTAATTAATGAGAAAGGGGGGAACGCGTACCAATAACCATTTTTTCAATTAATTGTTAAGGAATAATCGCGACGGCCTCCAGGTCTCGTTTCCAAGAGCAATATTTACTGCATTTGGAATTTATACGGGAAGCAAACAAATCTATTGAATGTTTTCCGAACCTTTTTATATTTCGTTATAAGCATATGAATCTAGTTCCCATTTGGTGTCCAAATTATTCATTCTCGAACCCTCATCCGCAAAGTTCTCCTTTGACGCTACGTATTCCGAAAAAATCCAGAGATTTCTGCTTCTAGACCATTCCCAAATTTCCTTAGCAATACCATTTCGATACTATTGTTAATAGCCGAAGGTTCTTTAATTTGAATAACTTTATAGTTTAAATTTATTTTATATCCTGCAATTGTTTCCAAGACAAATTCATCTCTCGTGAATATTTTCCAATTATCCGTAAAGAATTTTAATCTGGCAGTTGAGCTTACCTTATTTGTACTTAACGACGTTTCTGTTGAAGTTGTGTCTGAGTGTAATCTCTGCGAGCCGGGTATGGTTTTTGTCTGGTTGAGCTGTAATTCTGATTGTAGTTCTTCAAGGTTGTCCTGTTGGAGTTGTTTCTGAAGCCCCCTTGAGTCTCGTTCCTGGCAAAGGGGCTCTTCCAGTTTAAACCATTGTTATTGTTTTGTCTCAAGGGTGGTTTGTTCTCTTTTGGGATAAGCTCTCGCGAAATTTTTTTCATGGCTTTCGAAAATTCTATTACCGCCTTCAAATTGTCTTCAAACAAATAATTAGTCGGTTCGATTTTCTTTATAATTTTTTGTATCTTCTCTTCGTATCTTCTGATTAAAAATGATTTTCGAGATATTGTTAACGAGTGGAAAAGGTGTGATAGTAATTTTACTCTATCTGAAAGATTTTTCAAAATGACATTTCTATCTAAAGCGACCTCTTCATCGTTGATGATTGAGTTAAGAACTGATGCAGCAGCCGATAAGGCAGATCCCGTGAGATTCTGGTATTCTCTGAAGTATTTATCTCGAGCTAAAGATTTTGGATGGAGATCTACCAATATTGATTGGGGATTCTAAGTCCAATTGACCCTTCCTCGGAATTTATTTTAGGATATTTTCCTTTTCCTTTTTTTCTGGCAGACCATTTTAAATCCAAGCCTTGATGCGATCGGCTACCTCCTCTTTTAAATCAATGACATTGTCAGTTTGCCCCAAGGATTTTGATCCTAAAAACATCTCTGTTTCATCCATCTCCTCGTTAGCAGGAGTCTTAAATTGGGACGAGTCATCCTCGCTTCTCCTATCGTCCGCCATCTTGATATCTTGCCAAGTCAATGTTTCTGCAATGAAAAGAATTTTCTTTTGAAATAAAAGCTTATTTATTTTTTTGCCTTGGCTATTGCCTCTGATTCTAGATCGGAAGTCAGCCTGAATATTAATTATGGCTCTGATTTCAACTCTGGGTTGAAACTCCGCCTAGAGAATATCTCTTAGTGTAGCGTGGGTACTGGGGATC